AATGACAATGTTATATAGTTTTGTGAATAACATTATTCACTTTTATTGTTCAAATTGCAGTTTATATATAAACAAGCAATAAACTTCTTTGTTTAACTTTCTTTGTTTAACATGTGCTCCTTTATCTTGTGCATAATTATGTTAGAGTACAAGCAATAAATGTGTGCAATACTACAAAATAGTGCTAACTAAACAAGAGAAAACAAAAGAAATAGCATACTTTAGCAGTATTTAGTGGTATTTTGTACACTTCTGTTTGTACTCTGCTTTATAAAATCAGTATAGTTGTTTCCAAAAACTCATGAATTCACTGTAACTGTCGTATTCTTCCTTGTAATTTACGTGCACTACGCTTTATTATTGCACTTTCTTTCACAGGTTTTTACCTTGACTCTAATTGAAAATGGCAACAATTCAAGAGTGCATTCATTATATCTGTGAAATATTTTGTAAGAAACTGCACAAAAAAATGCACTAATTCAGGATTTCACACCAAATTGCCAAATTTAGTTTTCAAAAATAATCTATCATACATGAATAAACAGCTACCTTTCTCATTTTCATTAATTTTATTTATTCAGCCTGAGTCACATGCAGTCTTCGACTGCCTATTTTTCATTGTCGTTAAGAAGAAGTAAATTCAACAGGAGAGCATGCTCTCTTGTTTGTGCTTGTGACTTTGAAATATTTTGCGCACAAATGCTGAGGCTAACACAGAACACTGGAGAATTCGAAACTGGATTATTTCAATCCCACATCAGCGAGTCTTTGAATTTAGATTTCCATCAGTACGTTTCGTTTCATAATGGATTTTTCATAAAAAAGATAACCTAACAAGCTTTAGCTAGCAGATTAAAATTGATCAGTGTTGTTGATAAAGCTTCTTAAAACTGAGAAAGTAATAAGTAAGCTCGTTTACACTTGCAAATATTGAAGCTCAATTGTCTATCGCGCACCTAAAATCGTACGTGTAAACAGCCCTGCGATAGTTGCGGYGATCGAAAATCGCCACGAAATTGCAGCTAAATCTTAAGCATGTTCGAAACTCGGGCGATGGTCGCGCGACAAAAATCGCAAGTGTAAACGGCAGGGGAGGATCCAGCTTATAATAAGGAGGGGGGGTGGTATCTTTGACTACACTACTCAAATAGATTGTTAAGCTGCATAGTGGCAGACAAATGTTGTGTATGCTACTCGTTTTCTCGATAAAAGTACAACAAGAGTATAGTAAACAGCAGAAAAAAAAAACGTTTATACTGATATATTAAAAAATACGTCAAAAAAGGGGTGTGTATCCGCACCCAAAGCACCTCCCCTGGATCCGCCCCTGCCGTARTGGGACTTTAGAAGTGCAGTTATTCAAACAAAGTATAGGGGTGCGAGAGTTTTACTGAGATTGACACCACGTATAGACCTCTGAAGCTTTTACGTCATGTACCGTATACACAATGCATTGTGGGACATGTTTGGGACAAAACATGGCGGATTTCTTTTGTTTTCTCTAGAAACTGATCCCACAATGCATTGAAAATCAAGTAGTGACGTAAAAGGTTCAGAAGTCTATTGATTGTGTGATCTTTTTAGCACGTAGCACGTAAGAACTATGATCATAAACAACAAACATGTAATCAATATGTATCAATTAAATTACACACAGCGAGTACGAGTATGGGCAGTATCCAGATTAAAGACAGTATTTTTGTCTTTCCATTTTTCCAATTTTTTATATTTTAAATTACTGCGAAAATGAGACCATTCTTCCTTTACAAAATAGGGAATTATCTTCTTGCTACCCCTGTTGATTAGTATCATATTTGTAGTTTACAGCTAAAGCTTTGAGAACTGAAGAWGGTGTATGCCCATACCGAAACGCACCGTTGGTCGTCCTATCAACGCTATAGTCGTGCGTCACGATTATTATTGCACCAGCAACTCGACAGAAATTTGCAACCGTTGCACATTTCTTATGTTCCATGCAGCTTCGAAATATTCGAATTGCCTGTTGAAKACTTTTTTCAGTTAAATATTAAAAGTCCTTGGGCTTCTAAAATGTATAAGATGATATTAATCTCCTCTCAAAGATAGCTGTATTCTGTATTTCTGATTTGTACATTGTAGCGCAAGTGGTAATTGGCAATCGATCTGTGACCACCAAATGTGGTATCAAAAATATGCCAATTAGTTCTGAACGGAGGATTGTGCAGTGGTTATACAGTTTCCGAGTAGAGTCTAAATAATCGACTTTTAGGCGAGAAAAATAACAAAAGTGTTAGAAAAAAATGAAACATCTAAAGATCTGCAGAGTTCATAAGGGAGTGTTCATTATTCATGGTTTGTGGATTGGGTGATGGATGGTAAAATAACAGATGGGTCAAAAAGTTTCTTTTCATGTAGCTCTCAAGTAACTTGGGTGGGGGTGTGCCGCTGGCACCTCAAAACCCTGACCCTGTTCCAGAGTGCAATCGCTGAAAGCTATACCCTGTTCCAGAGTAAAATCGCTGAAAATGATACCTTGTTTCAGAGTAAAATCCAGCACTAGCTTGCGAGTAGACCGAATTTTTACCCCATGAATTTTAACCCAGCATTCCGAAATTAAACCCTGACCCAGCTGTTCCAGAGAAAATTCGCTGAAATCAATACCCTGTTCCAGAATAAAATCGCCAAAAACAATACCCAGTTCCAGAGTAAAATCGATGAAAACGATACCCTGGTTGGCGGCACGTCCCCGTAGAGAGAATATAGGGGAGTACCCCCCCCCCCCCCCCCCCCCCCCCTTCCCCGGGATTCTGTACAAGTTTTAAAGTTTTTCTTGAGGATTCAACCAACTTTAGCTTAATTTATCCACGAGGAGTCCACCACCTCCCAACGAAAAAATAAACCATATACAATGAACACCCGAAAAGGGACTAAAAGTTTGTTGTGGCACCAGTGTTCCTCTCTAATACTGGCGYAACAGATGGATAATAAGGGAGAAATGGAATATACTTGGAACCTTCCCACTGAGACACTCTCGAGAGACACCATGGGAGATTGTAGATTTCACTGGAGGTGTTGGTCTTGTCAACTGCTTTGTCCTCAACATCGCGCCTTCTCCATCTAAGCATACCTCTTTCCTCCAATGTGCCTGGGACAGTGTTGTCAAAAAGGCACCCAAAAARACCCGAAACAAACATATTGGTRCTCAGAAGAACTTTGATGATTTGGTCAATCTCTGAATAACCTAATGAAAGTTTTGCGACATAAAAATCAGTGATAACTAAGTCAAAGAAATAGGGGATATTACATGGCGTGTGCGGAGATACGGATTTTATCTTCGAGTGTTGAAAATATCTCTCACGAGAGAGCGTAGTGAGTAAGCGTAGTCTATTAGAGCGGATTTCGTATGAGTGGGACACCGTTACCGCACAGTTACCGCACCTGGCCTGCASAATTTTGGYGAAHCAATGGGGCACTAKAATTTGGTTACAGTACGATTACGGTCACAGTACAGTACCGTCCGTTTCCCACTCATACGAAATTCCCTCTATGCCATACACTGCCACAGCTAATGACACATTCGTTTCTTTTGCTAGTCTCTGGAAAATGTTAAGATTTTGTTCGCTTTTACAGCGCTCCACTATAATATTTATTTATTTTTCTACTATTTATTGTTTCACTTATTTGCTTTCATTCCCATTGTACTTGCTCSCACTAGCCACATACAATTCCAAACTTCGTATTTTGTAACGAAAACAAACGCAAAAAATCGCMTATTCTCAACATCTTTATGGAGACTTTTTTTCACCATGTAAATAGTACAAAGAGTATGTTTACCTGTTTGTATTGCTTTGTCACCATTTTCCTTCACCCAGTAAGGTATTGCCATTCCAAGCATTAACGRAAACCCAAGTACAAAGRGGTTCCGCGATGAATTCATATCCACAARTTGTAAATTGGATATCCCTACAGCGGTTATCATTCCAAACATAATCATGAACACACCTCCAACTATAGGGTCAGGGATGGTTGTAAATAGAGCACCAAACTTGCCAAACATTCCAAGGAAAATCATGATCAAAGCAGCTACTTGGATGACACGTCTGCTGCCGACCTAACGGAGAAAATGCTCCGATTATGATTGATTTACAGCRCTTCTTAATCACRAGCTCTTTCCCATACTTTCTTCTATCTTTTCGTGATTATTTCAGATTAATTTCAATTAATCTGACCAGTTGGTAAATACAATATTTCTGAGTAAATCGAGRGTATTTCATGTGTAAATGATCGCCACAGGAACTGACCTTGGTAATACCAATGGCACCAACATTTTCACTATAGGAGGTTGTACCGTTGCCACTTCCCCATGCCCCTGCCAGTAGACAACCAATTCCTTCCATAGCAATACCGCGATTGACAGCATGATCGGGTGGAGGAGGAGCACCGCTTAGTCTTGCACAGGCAAAATAGTCTCCTATTGATTCTATCATGGAGGCTAACACGCCAGCTAGCATACCAAATACTCCTGCTAAACTCACTGTTGGTGTGCCCCATTGCCCTTGTTTTAAGAGAGAGAATGCGATTTAATCTTTAGGTTAATGTTGCTACATTTGTTAACTTGGGAAGAAATATTTCAAATATGCGAGTGAAACATAGTTATTTAATGACTGAAAAACAAGAGGCTGCTGGTTTAAATTCTATACTTGGTTCGTTTGGAGCATTTGTTAATCTAATAAAAGCACGAGTTTCCTCTTAAATTTGTGGATAATCGATGGGAAAAATTTACCTTTCAAAAGGTATTCAGGATAGACAATATATAAGCAAAGRACGGTTGTGAATTCTGTTTGGAATTTAAAAAAGTCAGACCTTCGCTACGTTTAAAGTAGATCATTGCAGTTTTTTGACATATCGTTCACGATTTTCATTTAACGTATTTACAGGCTTAACCTGTACATATGTACTTGAGTTTTGGATCAGTTATGCAATGACATAAAAATATGACCATGGTAACAATCAATCATTCTTTCCAATTTATCTTCCAAACTGTCGTCCAACAACCATGATTTTCCATGGTACGAGAAAAATGTTTTGTTTAACTTAAATTTTATAACCGTTTAATCTTACCGGGATATGGAAAACGGAACCAATTAGCTTGTTTTAGTACAGAAATTCTTCCATCCGTTCTTGCTTTTGAATCATAAGCAAATCCTCCCACTTCAGTGATTATGACACATACAATCCAAGCTATAATGATAGCTAGGATAATCTGAAAGAAAAAGGAATTGATGTWCACTAAAAACACAAGAATTATTACTAATACATACAGTATGAACAATAACGATCGAGCTCTCATTTGTCTCCATTTTGCAGCTTTTTATCATATAGTGACAGTAATAGAAATAAGAAGAAAAGTTAAAGTGATAACGATTTCAGCTTATCAGCGTTATTATGGCAATGATAAAAGGTTTCTGTTGGAAGTGTTGTTTTTTAATGTGTTAAATGGAACCATTAACGGCTGCAGAGTATTGCCAAACAAGACCAACTACTTGATGTTTTTTTAGAAATAACCTGTTTGATTTCGTGATTTCATAAAAATCACAGTTTCGGAATATTTTCAATAGCTTGATTTTATTTGAAATAGTTGGTATTTTGTTTTATATATAATACTCCAAAGTCTGTATGATTTACCGCTTGTCGAGGTAACAAGAAACATTCAATAAAAAATAAATAAATTCAACTAAAACATTGCTATGGTAACGCCGATCTAGATCAAATGACRTTGTTAGTTTGAACTTTTATCTTTATTCCATAACTGATAGAAGTACATAGGTATGATAAATTAGATGAAAATTTAAGCAATTGAAGGGTCTTSAAGGGATCTACCTCAACTCACCACTCGAAAACACTTTTCGTGCATTCTCGTASCCAGATTCTTCTAAGTTTCACAAAGGAAAATCGAACRCTCTGGTTGGAAATAAATTCCCATGCGCAATCAGTATGGAAATATCGTACGATCCATATTCTGGGTCTTCCGGCATCGTTTCCATCCAGACAGCTCGATTTTCCGTTGGGAAACTGAGAAAGATCTGGGTRCGAGAGTGCCAGTTTATGAAATGATCTCCAGAATCATTCTGGCAATATTCAAAATACCTCGATTGAATAGAAATAGCTAGGATATCAAACGTCAGAATAGCAAGAATGTACATAACATTTATACGTGCGTGACTTTAAGCTAGAGAGAAAAACTAAATATCTAATATTACTTAGTCGGATCCGGGTCGAAAGGTATACTGAGTCACGTGTTTTGTTCCATTTGTCATTTCCTAATCAAACAAAACTAGATTTAAACTTACTGGAAAAAGCCTGAAAAGTGCAAACTTCTTCTTTAAACAACCACTGTTTCGCTGGTATACAAACACGGGTACATCAAAACCTCTGATATACTGTGAGAATGTTATAATAAGTACCATAGTCCTAAGAATTAATGAATAAAGTTCGTAAGTATTTTGATGATTGAATAAACGATAGCTTGAAGCGGTTTACTGGCGAAATAAACCGCGAGGAAAAAGAGAAAAGATCTGTGAATCACGAGCCGTCAGTAAACCAGTAAATGGCTTCAAGCTATTTATTATTGCTTTCATATTATAGCCGGCGTTCGAAATTTAGAATCAAAATTCTTTCATGGCAGCAGGCGAAATTTAACAAATAGATCTCATTTTTCCGTGCGTGTGTACTCTAATAGATACACAGATGACGTCAAAATGTAGTGAGAACAAAAAAGTACGCACGAGACGCAGTCGAGTGCGTGACTGTTGTTCTCACTACATTTTGACGTCATCTGTGTAACTATTAGAGTACACACGCACGGAAAAATGAGATCTATCTGTTTTATACAACAAACAATTAGTTTTGACGTAATCCGTGTATCTATACTTTGATAACACACGAAAGCCAACCAATCAAAACGTCTGATTTTACTGAAAAGTTGTATAAACTTTGATAACACACGAAAACCAACCAATCAAAACGTCTGATTTTACTGAAAAGTTGTATAAAAACAAATAGCTTTACTCAGCGCGCGTGTTAGAATTAGACGATTATATTAATACATATCTTAGTTGACCCTCATTAGTTTATTAATGAGTCATACTCACAGAGCTGATATTCCCCAGTGTGTACCTATGACATGGATATAAGGATGAGAAACGAAAGTTATATATYGAAAACACTCGATAATCCCATTAGGTTACTAGATATATTATTAGGCTTATAGACTGGTTAACCATCATATGATCATACGACAATGCAACCAAGGCCAGTCTCAAGGATGCCCTGACCACACAACCGCAAGCTTCGTGCCCTATTACCTTAGTTGGGAGGTTTGGTGAGTTTTTAGAGAAGAAGGAACCTTCTTTAATTTGAAGGACCTTTTAATATCCGAGAAGGCACCGCGCATACAGTTCGACATCGCCTAGTCTCTGATTTACAAGCCACTGAACAATGGAAAGAAAGGCTTGATTTGAAGACATCATCAGTTCGATTTATTAACTATCGCAGATTGTACCTGAAAAGTCAGCAGCGGCACTAAACAGGGCTAGCCCAACAAGTGTAACCGTTGGAGCTATTGTGAGTGGCCCAATAAATCGCAGCAAAAAACCAATGAGTCCCGTGAATCCAATCAACATTTGAAATAATGATGAGACCATGATGGCGCCTTGAATCTGAAAAAGGTAAAATGTACAGCAGGCAGCGTAGACTTGTTGTCCGCAAAGATTTTGGACAACGACCGCGCGAAAGTTTGAATAAACCCTTTTAGCGATCTCTTTTACGCTGTGTTAGCCTCAAAAGCATGTAATAAATTCTTTATTATATATATAACGAGACTTTCAATGCGTAAATGGCATAAATAGAAATCTATATGCTATATTTTCACATGTGAAAAATAGCGATAYGTCCAATCAGAAGCGCGTATAGCATTTCTCACACTGTAAAAATATAACCAATCACAACACAGAAAAACCGTAATCAGTCAATCAGAAAGCGACGTTCACAACACTGAAATGGCTTCTCTTAGTCACATACCGGGCGTTGATGGCAAAATGGCTGAAGGTGAACTGTGTTTGTTGATCAAAATTCCACATTTGAAGAGTTTATTAGTGGACAGGAAGGCAAACATAACTAAAGCAAAATAAGAAGAGATGTTTTCTTCAAGAGAATTAATTTTTTTTGCCATCCAGAATGAACATGAAAGCATGGAAAACATCAGCCAAAACTATAACTTTAACGAACAGAAGTTTGTCTTGTTCGTGTTCACTGAGTTCAGGCCGTTTTATACCAAGTTTTGATCGTTTTCTGCAAAATTTAAACTTATCTCCATGCAATATAGAAAGACAGGACTTCAGTAAGACAAGAGATGTACCTGTAGGAAAGCAAAGTTAGCTCAAACGAAGACGGAAATTGCAGCGCGTTATCTTATAACTTAAATACCGACCAAGAGAAGTAGTTTTCAAGACGAAGAACTATTATTTGTTCCTCTACTTACTATAAAATCTCACGAAAACTTGGACGTTCCTGCAGCTTAGTGGAAAGTAAGACTATTAATTTAGTTTTTTTTTTTGTAAGCCTTAAGTTTTATCAAGTTTATTAAGTTTAAGTAATTATCTGTGCATTTTTTTCGACATAAGCTCATTGAGTTTGTTTCTTAAAATAGTTGAACAAGCTT